AATAGGGTCGCTGGCAAGCTTCAGCTTTGCAGATGCATATATGTTAGCGCAGACCTTGGCGCGTCGCTGTTATGMTTCGATCGCAGGAACGTTGTCAGCACAGTACTGCGATCTTCCCATTATCATGTAGATGGTATCCTACGGGTTTCCGTTGTCTGGGTTGTCATCGCGGCGTTGGCGCTTGGGGTTCCCCGCCTGCGGTTTGGTGTCAATAGAAGCCTTCACCTCTTCTGGTGCCACCAGTCAGTTTAGCTATTAGCTGCCATCCCAGCTCGCGACACTTTGCAGTCGAGTGCCCGCTTACCTTGTGGAACTCGCAATACAGCTTCTCGTCGTACTCCTTCGGATCTCTGACTCATGTATAGTTTCCTCTGCCGCGACCTCGGCCGTAACCCGATGACTCCACCTGGTAGTTATAAGCTCCTGCGGATCCCCCTTCATACTGGATGAAGGCGGGATTGCCTTTCTTTGGCATAGCAGGGGTCGCAGCCTGAGCGGGTTCACTCGCTTGCTTAGCCTTTCCGTCCCTCTTGGCGCGGACTTTCTCTTCACTTCGAGCAAAGTCTGTAGCGCGGTAAAGTGCGTCTTGAATGGTTGTCGGCGGGTTGATGGTCAATTCCTGCCAGAACGGAGATGGGCATCGAAGCGCTCCTCTCAAGGCCTCCAGTGCGGACGTATTGCTAATACCATCCACCTTTGATAACGTGTGTTTAAACCTTGTCATGAAAGACCGTAGACTTTCATTCTCACCTTGTCGGTTCGTCCATAACTCCGTGTCATAGATCTTCCGTTCCGCGAAGATGTTGTAATGCTGCACAAACATCTCTGAGAGTTGATGGAAGGTGTGGATTGAGTTCTTTTCTAACTTACAGAACCATTGGAGGGCAGGCCCCTTGAGGCTTACCACAAACAGCTTGCAGTAGCTGATGTCTTTCTCGGCTTCTTTGAAGTTTGTCCTCCCTAGAGCCACCTCGAACTCCATCAGATGGTCCGAAGGGTCCGTGGTTCCTTCGTAGATTAGAAGCTTGATTCTTCCGGGATCGGAGATTTTAGCCCTCGCAATCCTCTCAGCGAAGGGTGTGTTCCGTGCCTTCTATAGCACATAGGCGACCCCAGGAGCCGTCCCCGAGCTACGGTACATCTGCGATTGGGTAGTCTTCAGGTCAGAGATGATTTGCTCCATCTGAGCCTTTATCGCAACGATCTCCGCGTCTCGAGACCATTTTAGTGCCATGCGCTCTTGCTCCCTCAAGTATTGCTCTATACGGAGGGTATGCCGTCATTATTGGCGCTGGGATAGTCATCGTACCCTGAAGTGTCTTGCATGGTTTCCGTCCAAGAATACGACGATGCAGTCCGACTATCTGAAGTGCGCGATTAACATGGGTTACAACCTGTATTGTCTGTTCGCGCACGCCTTCGAGGAGCTGGTCGATCCTAGTCTAAGATCTCCTCGATGTGCTCTAGAGTTCTGTCAGATTCCCGTCGTGGCGGTGGTGGCGGCAATTCGCCCAGATCCCTTCGAGCAGCACGCTGTGTGGAGAAGTTGAGGTGACGTGGGTCGAAGCGACCCCTGAGTCCAGTCGTGTCGGGTCTTTCACGCTTCCTTCACGAAAGAGCCTTCAGCTCGTTCGTAGTTACCTCGTTGAATTTCTTCTGCTCGTTGGACTCCTTCGGGAGCGTTTGTAGCATCTGCTTGACCTCGGTCATGTCTCCAGGGTTAGCAGCGTCGTTGTTAGTAGGGGCTTCGACGGAGTTCTCCTCCTATTGGTTGGTTCTGTGAGACGTGGACTCCTCGGCGCTACTGCTTGATTAGTTCTCTTCGTCGTTCATCTTCCCAGATCTTGTGTGTAACCTAGCTTTTTTATGTTAGAAATTCTTAAGTTCCCCTTAGTCGGCGCCAAATTGTGGGAGCCAAGACTATCACAATTAGATTTGTAAGGATTTCGAGAGGAAGCAGAGATTTCTAGGTTAAGCTATGAAGACAACAAGAGCTAAGAAATTTTTTTGTTATTGCTGTCTATGCTTTTGTAAACCAAGTTGCGGATGATCCTTTACAAGGGTTTATACATTGATATATATAGCGTTTCTAAGTCGGCTAAGCTTTTCCATAAAAGACTATGCTAAGTTTCCTAAGTCTTCGTGGATTTCCTTTTTGTCTACGTCGGTTGTACCGAAGTGGGCTTCGCAACTGGACTGGGCTTCAGTGTGGAGACTTCGAGCTCCCGCAGTTGTTACATCGTCGTTTTGCAGCCGCTATGCTTATCTTCTGGAGATGTATGGGCCTGTCCTCTCAACTGGTTAAGGGTCGAAGCCCAGCGCGGGAAGTCCTCGGGCCCTTCTTGCGGGACGAAGATAGGATCCTTTCTGCGAGGCAAAGACAGGGGTCTTCGGTGACACTCTCCGTTGGAGTCCTCGGCGGCAGTTCTCGCCAGGGTCCTCGGTGGCACCGATGACAGAGTCATCGGTGGCCTCYCYYGTGCTGWYRCTTTCTTCTGCATGAAAGTAGGACTCGGGAGACTTCGCCTCGCACGCGGAGAAGACTTAGGAACGGAGAAGACTTATCTCATGGCTTGACGACTTAGGAACTACATGATTTCTAGATGTCAACGTAGTTCAGTGTACGTTCGTTGTGTCAATCAAACTTTGAACATTAACGTTGAGCGGGTGAAATCCGCCCCCAACAGAAATCATGATCAAAATCAGAGACTCTCATAAGCTTTTGAAAACTCGCTTTCATGTCGTTTCCAAAAACTCCCCTTTAATACACGTTGGAGCTTGTGATTCCGTTTTGGAAGCTTGCGCTTCCGTTTTAAAAATATTGTGTTGTAAATAAATATGAAGGATAATTTTTTTTTTGATATGTCTCTATTACAAAACAAAACCGAAAACTAATCTAGTACTTTGACATTTGCACACTAGTTTTTGTCTTTTATCTACAAACTGTCTTGTTTAAAGTTTAAACCCTAAACTTTTAAACTTCATAAAGGATCTTGACCATAACAATCTCTAAACCTTAAAAACTAAGCAACATAACATAGTTAATCCAAAAATAAACGATATTTTGTGTAAATAATATAATATTAATGATATTTTTGAAAAGATTTTTAAAACATGAAAATTTTGAAAGTGGAATTTCTCAATATTTTTCTTAAATTTATACATTTCTTATCACTTT